TTACTTTTTAAAATTTTGAGACAGGGTCTCACTATGTTGCCCAAGCTGGGTTCAACCTTAAAATCCTCCTGTCTCAGTCTCCTGAGTGGCTGGGAGTACAGTTGTGTTCCACTGCACCATTCGATCCAATTTTTCCCTCAGTCCCAGGTGTGCAAGCCCCTCAGCTGGACTCTGTGGCAGAGCCGAAGCTAGCATGAGGACCTTGATTTGCTGGCTTTCGAGCAGGTCTGGGTCTAGGGAAAAACAGGGGAGGGAACGTGGAACCCCATTTCATTCCATGACTGCAGCGATGAGGGAACAAGGCCGTGAGAAATAAGGGCAGATTCCCTGGGCACAGCCACCACTGCTTGGAGATCAGTTACCAGTCAGACCCCTGCCTGCGGTGCAGATCTTGCCCAGAAGCCTTAGCAGAGGCTCTGGAGAGAAGGATGTCACCAGGGGACCCCCTTTCCTTACCCAGGGCCTGATCAGCCTCAGCTATTTCTCCATTACCATCAGTGCTGTCAAATCCTGGGCACTAGCATAAGGAGCTGAGCCTAGCTGCTCCTGGGACAGAGACTTTGGGTCTTTGAAGTGCGCCTTCTTCTTCTCCATAAGAACCATGCTGAGAACCACCCTGAATGATGGCGTTCCCCACCTTCCCTGGCAAGTAAATGTGCTCATATGGCCAAGCTCTGGAGAGTGGGATGGAAGCAGAAATGACATGCACAGCTTCCAGGAAGTGTCTTTTAAAAAAGGCATGGAGCTCCTATTCTCTCATTTTTTCTTTCCTGCTGATGCGATGCAGATGTAGTAAGCAGCGCTGGAACAGCCACTCTGGGCCAGGAAGTGAACTGAAGAAAGAGAGCCCAGTGGCAGGAGCTTGCAGCCCTGGCCCTGAAAGAACTCTAAGAACCCTGGGCCTTCACCAGGAATGTTGTAGCTAAACCCACGGCTGATTCAGCTGGACCCCTCCTTGCCCTGTGACCTGGGCTCAGCCTCTGGAGCCTCTGGTGGTGGTTGATACTGACAGCTGCACATGTGTGCGACCTCCTACGCAAGGGTAGGAGTGAGTGGGTAATGGGAGTTTCAGCTCCCTGGAGACAGAAGGAGGAGGGCTGGGGCCTCAGTCTCTGGGCAAAAAGGAATTCAGAATTTGCTCCCTGGAGACAGAAGGAGGAGGGCTGAGGCCTCAGTCTCTGGATAAAGGGGAATTCAGCATTTGCTCCCTGAGGAGGAAATGGGGTTGTGGAACTTGGGGCACACTCAGCTCCTACTTCTGCTAACTGCATGTCAAGTGCCTCAGACGATTCATTCTCACTGAATCTCAACTTCCCCATCTGTAAGATAGGCGCAGTGACACCCACACACGAGCAGAGTCTAGGTACGTAAAGGCCCCTGGTGAGGCAGGAGCAGCTGTTGTTTTTATCACTGGTTTGAGAGGCCAGAGACCCCAGCCCTCCCAGCTGAGGCTGACCTCACCCTCAGGGCTCCTCCACATCCCTGGCTTCCCCAGGCTTGGAAAACCCTAAGTAATGTCCAAAGTAACAGGGGGGCTAAACTTTCAGAATGGAGGAGGGCAGAAGAGGGACTGGAGAGTGGGAGCCGGGAGAGGTGTGTGAGTGTGTGGGGCTATGAGAGTTTGTGCCCTGGACATGGAGGCCTGGGAAGGCCAGAGACCTGATCCCCAGCTCTGTCCATAGGTTCTGAGGGACCCTGAAAGTCCAAGGTCACCAGAGAGCTGGTTGGAGGAGCAGAGACCAGAGCCAGGCTTCTCCCCTCCAGCTCTGCGTGAGCCCTTGCTGGAAAACCCTTCTCTCTCTTCCTTGAAGCCCAGAAGCCTGGGCTTCCCTGATTAGGATGCTAATGGAGGGAAGGGGGTGAGGAAGTGGGGGAGCCGCAGAGCCGGAGAAACGGAGAAACTCGAAACAGCCGGGGACTGGGAGCCAGTGGCTAATTAAAGGCTCCATGTCAAAGAGGAATGCCAACTAGGTAATTTCCATGCCATTTGAATAATGGGGAAAACGTTTACCATTTCTCAAGTTTGCTTGTTGAAAAGAGAGAGAGGAAGAAAGCAAATGGAGGGGAGGAGGCTGAGGCTGCTGGGGCCTCTAAGCGCTGCTCCTAAGGAAGTCGGGGGAGGGGAGAAGGTGGAAATCCCAGGGGAGCAATTTTTTTGTCTTTGCCCCTCAAAGTCCTGTGCAGAGTCCTGAAGCCTGGGCTAGGAAGATGGGCAGCCCTGCAGAGTGGCTATGACACTAGATCCCAGCAGAGCTGAGGAAAGCCTGAGTATACACTGGACTTTCCAGTTTCCAAAGCCCGCCCACTTCCCTTGCCTCACTGGATCACCATGACAGGCTGCCCGGGCACCATGGACAGGGTGATGATGATGATCCCCATAGTGGTGGTGATGGCGGTGCCGGTGATTTGAGGGAACAACTCACCCCTAAAGAGTGGGAATGAGTTGTTCAAGGCCACATTTGTTCATTTATATTCATTCATTCATTTATTTAACAAGAAGACAGGCTCTTTATTGGGGACCGACTGTGGGCCAAGGATCAAGGATGAATGACATGGCCCTGCTTCCAGGGAACTCAGGTCCATAGGTAGAGATGGAGAGTGAAACCACCCATCGCTGCCTTTGGGTATCCGTCTACCTGGACCTCCCTGGGAGGAGGACTTTAAGCTGAGCTTTTGAGCATATTCCAGGCTGGGAGAACAGCATATTTGAGGACTTGGAGTCCGTGGAGGGAATAATGAGAGTCTAATGTAAGAGGGCAGTAGGGATCATAGGGTGAGGCTGGGGTGGGAGGTGGAGGGGACCACAGAGGCAGCCCTGGACAGATCTTCAGGCCACAGCACTGTAGAGAGAGGGTGAGGGGGTGGTGATGGATGTAGATCATTCCATGTCCATGGTTACTACTGACTTTCAGAGTCACACCAAAGACCCAGCCTCCTTCTACCCTCCTTAGCCTGATCCATTGAGCTCTTTCACATTATGGGCTCCCAAGAATAGGAAGTCAAGCCATGGGGCAGGGGTCCCTATGGCTCTGGTCTACTCCACCCCTCCATTCATCTTGCCTTTTCACTTTCTATATTCTGATACTTGGATCTCTGGGGCCTTGCTGACCTCCCTGGGCTGTCCGGGTCCTGTCACATGCAAACCAATTCATCTAGAGCCACTAGCCCAACCATCCCCCTTTAAGGGGCTCTTACATGCAAAGCCAGTGTTACTCATTGCTGCAGGGCTGAGCACCACACAACCGGTGATAGTCCCTATACCCCAGAACTCACTAGGATGATTCAGTTAGCCAATTCTCAGCCTGCCTGCCCAACCTCACCCATTCCTTCACATGGAGACCACAGTAAAGCTCTTGTCCACATTTTCCTTTCATTCTCTCTGCCTCTTGAGCCATGCTGGTGTTTTCAATGGCAGTCGGTTTCTGATCTGTGGGTCTCACCTTACCAGAATAATAATGACTCCTCCATTGTACATATTGCCTTGAATCAGTTACCTACTGATGTTTAGCAAATTATCCCCAAGCACAGTGGTTTAAAAAAAAAATAAACATTTATTGTCTGTTATGATTTCTTTGGGTTAGACATTTGGGGGCAGCCTACCAGGGACGCTCTGGCTTGGAGCTTCTTGTGAAGCCACAGCCAGTATGCTGGGCCAGGGCTGCAGTCATCTCAGGGCTTGATTAGGGCTGGAGAATCTGTGCCAAGGCGGTCTACTCCAGGATGGCTCATTTACTTGGCTGTCAGTGTGACCTCCGTTCCTTACCACAGAAATCTCTCCCTGAAACTGCTTGAGTGTCCTCACAGCATGGCGGTGGGCCTTCCCCCGAAGGAGTAAGAGAAGGAGTAAGAGGAATAAGGTGGAAGTGACCTTCAGTGATCCAGCCCCAGAAGTCACACACTGGCCTTTTTCAACCACCTTCCCTTTGGTTACACGTGATGGGAGAGAACCACACAGAAGCCTGTGTAGCAGGAGGCTGGGTCACTGGGGACTGTCTTGGAGCAGGACACCATACCCCTCCTTGCAGAGAACAGCAGGCAGAGCAGCCCCATAGCAGACCGTGATGGGAGGTGGTCTCTCTGTTGATAACAAAAAGGGCAGGGTCTTCTTGGGTCCTTACGACAGTCAGGCCTCCAGTGGCTCTGCTCCCACCTATCGGGTTTGCCATCCTAATGATGTAGGAAGGATCTATTCTGCTTTGCAGAACCGGAAAGAAGAATAGCAGAAACAGTGTCACTTCTCACCCCTAATCCTGCTTCTTCACACAGGTAATCTGGTTTCCCAGAGGACTTCACAGACGCATTTGCATAACCACCCAAGGGTACATCATTCTTTCCTTTAAGCTCTGTCTCGGCTCCAAATTTCCAGTGGGATCCCACACACTTAAATCTGTGTGGGGCTTCCCTTCCTCCCCTATGACCACACTGCTCCCTGGATGGCTCAGGGCAGGACAGCGCTTGGTGTTAGCTCTGCTTGGTGCCCTCACATTGCCCAAACCCTGTGCAAGCCGGGCCCCGGATCCAGTCTGGACCAACTCTTCTCTGTTGTCCTTCTCAGTTTCCCTTGGTGGTGAAGGCTGAGGAGCTCAGGCTGTCCCAACCAGAAGGGACCTTGGGCTGTCTTGTGCCGCTCCAGCACTTTACAGACCAGACTCTGTGAGGACCAGTGAGATCCCAAGGTTATATGACAAGTTGGTGGCAGAAATACTGGGTGGGGCAAGGACCAGGCCTCCTGATCCCCATGCAGGGCTCTTTTGTTCTCTCTGCTGGGCATGGCCAGCAGGTGTTCTGATTTTGGTTGTTCTAGACAGCCCCTGGGCCACCATGGCTTTGACATTCTCATCTCTTCAAGAGAGGCAGGCCAGGTGCCAGGATGGCATGGAGGGAAAGGGGAAGCTGTCAGTGTGGACAAGCCAGATCCCACACTTTCTGGTGTGTGTGTGTGTGTGTGTGTGTGTGTGTGTGTGTGTGTGTAAGATATTGTGGGAGATATATATAAAGAAGTTGATCAAACCTGAGACCTTCATACTTGGTAGGGAACAACAGAGCAAAATATGATCAGAAAGCTAGTGCAGAATGAGCAGACCCCATGGACCTGGCACTGACAGGTCCTTGAAGGCTGGCTGAAGTTTGAGAAGCTTGTGTGTGTGTGAGTGTGTGTGTGTGTATGTGTGTGTGTGTGTGTGTGTGTGTGTGTGTGTGTGTGTGCTCCCAGGTACACCTCTACTCTGCCAGACACAGGAATAAGCCAAGGCAGGAGAGATAGCAAAGTGTGGAGTTCCTTGGTAGCCCACAGCTCCTTCTACCCTGCCATGGGCATCCTGCAGGCTCACAGAAGGCTGGGAGGAGCTAGTTCTCTGGCCTGTGCTTTCTGTTGATCTCTGAGGCCTTATGGAGTCCCCTTCCAGTCCCTGTCTACTTCCCAGAGTCTATTCCTGGCTGGTTTGACTTGATAATTTCTAAGTCTTCATTTTTGGCCATTCCTCTCCCTAAACTGTCCCCTGCTGTGAACTCTAAAAGGCAAACTCATTTTGATATTGGCTTGAATAAACCTTAATCTCAATTTTCAATAAGAAATGTGCTAGGAAAATACCATCCAGGTGCCCAGGAAAAAATGGCTCTTGAATCATTCAAAGATTAAATTTCTCTCCCCCTCAGGCTAGAACAGCCCACCCCAGGGCAGAGTCTGGCTCTGTGTCATCAGACGGCAGGGAAAGGGTAGGAAACCAATGTGCTGGGGTCTGCTTGTGCTAGATATGTGGCACCTTTGTGTGTGGCTGAATGTCCCTGGCATGGGAGAAATTTTGTTTCTTCTTATAGTCAAGGATCCAGAAGACCAGAGCAGGGAGGTGCTTTTCCATGCCCACTCAGCTAGGATGTGACTAAGACAGCTTTGGAAGCTGGGTCCTGTGACACCAAGTTCTAGGTGCTTTTTCTAAACCACATGGGCAAGCAGAGGTGGCAGCTGGGCTTCACCATCCCCACCACAAGCTCTGCAGACTTGGCCTGCTAAGACCCTCAAAGAGCTACGAAGGGTTGGCCCCCCAAGGCGGCCAGCATTGCCACCTGCAGGGACTGGGTTAAAGAGAAACACTGACACTAATTGGGGAGCAAGTGTCCCAACATCTGTGTTTCCTGTAACATCTGTATTTCCTGTCTTAGTTGTTTGGCCCAACAAAACGGCTTTGTCTTGGTTGGCCCAGCGACAGCATCTTGTCATGCTTTTCCTGCCTCCTCCAGCTTAGCTCTCTAGGACTAAACGTGCTTCTCTCTTTGTCCCTATTTTCAGACCCATGGACAGGAGACCCGGCATGCTGCCCAGAGGTTCATCATCTTGGTGTGTGATCCTGAGCAACAAGTTGCTTAGCCCCTCTGGGTCTCAATTTCTTCACCTGCAAAACTGGAGGGAAAGGATTGGATCAGATGGTTGCTTAGGGTCTATGAAGACTTCCTTCCCACTTTTTTTAAAAAATGGATTTATCTTTTGTTTTTGTTTGTTTTTGAATCAGGCTTTCACTATGTAGTCCAGGCTGGTATTGAACTCAAAATCCTCCTGCCTCAACCTCCTGAGTGTTGTGATTATAGATTTGTGCCAAAACATCTGGCTTTCCTTCCCATTCTGAGGACTGGTACTTGGAAGGACAGTGGAAGCCAAGGCCTAAAGCCAGGCTAGAGAGATGAGAGATGCCCCCGGGAGTGGTGTCTTCATCCAAACACATTCTGTTGGAGAGGGATGCCATTTGCACGTAATTTACTCTTCCACTGAGAGTCAAATGTTCTAACACACTCACTCCAATCTCTCTGTCCTGTTCCACTTTCTGTTTCCTGATTTCATTGTCCCACCCTAACTTATGGCAGCCCTGGAGCTGTCTGGCAGGCTGGGCTACCTGCTCTAGAAGGACTGAGTTTGTCAGGAAGGCATGACTGGGCCTCAAATGTAGCTTAGCCTGACTTCAGAGTATGACTCAGTTTTATGATATCTATCCTATGCCTGGAACTGTCACCGTGACTCATCATTTCTAAAGAAACATAACCCTGGAGAGGATGAGCAACTGGTCTGAAATGACGTGGCGAGGTGGCAGAGTCAGCATTCGGATCCCCAGCTGTTTCACTCTCAAACTGCATTCTCCTCCCTGCTCCGTGCTGCCCACCTGCTTGGGGACATCTACTGGGCTGTAGCATCGGCCCAGCTGCTGGTGATGATGATAATACAATTGCCAGGAAGTGTGGCTCATGGGCCGGGAGTCTGGCTGCTGCTTTTGAGTTTGCTAGACATGAGGCCCCACCCAAACCTGCATCAGGGTCTGCATTTATCAGGACCCCCAGAAGGCTGGAGAGCACAGGACAGATGGGAGTCCTGCTCTACAGCTCTGTCTTCCAAGCTGCTGTGAGGTTCTGGAGTCACCTGACACTACCCGCAATCTCTGTAGTCTTGGCCTTGCCAAGACCCGAAAGGGGTTGGCAAAGGCCTGCTGACATCTTCAGGCCTGGGGATGTCACAAACTTGGTTACTGGGGCACTGGAGTTCCTGGCGTTGGGCTGTGTCTGGTGTGGGGATGAGATAACACCCCCTAGGCAAGACTCTGGAAGTCTCCCCACCTAAAATCAACTAAACCTTGGGTTATTTTTTTTTGCATCAGGAATCGAACTCAGGACCTTGCCAGGCAGGTGCTTGTGCCACTGAGCTACATCCCCGACCCTGGGTTAGGCTTTAATAATTTTGCATGGAACATTATTTCATCAGAATGAGGCGGGACTGTTAGGGTTAGTTGCTTCAAAGAAGTTTTTTCAAAAAGATGACTAATTCCATTTGTCTGTTTTACAGGTGAAGAAATGGATACTTGCGAAGGGCAGGAACCTGCCCAAAATCACATGGAGTCTAGGATGAGAATGTAAGTATGTCAGTAAGGACTGCTTGGGGCTGCCAAAGTGACAGCAAACCTGCCTAGAAGTGGCTTAAGCAAATAAAGCTTTTTCTTCATGCAACAAGGAGCCCGGGCACGCAGTGCGGAACACTGATTCCACCACGGCTCAGCGTGGTATCTGTGGCCCAGGTACATTCTGCCGCCCTTAGCCTGGGGCTCTTATCCTGGCAGGAGATGGCTGATACTGCTCCACACCTTACATACCTTGTGTCCAGGCAGGAAGAAGAGGGAAGGGTGATTTAGCAGAGGGCGTCCTAGTCCTGTCTTTTCATTCGGGGACGACACCCTTCCGAGAGGCATCTGCCTATTTGCTTTAGGTCAGAACTCAGCTCTGTGTTCACTTCTAGCTGGAAGACAGACAAGGGAAGGGGAGTAGGGAACGAGCTTAAGTCAAATCATCCAGTGGAAGCTAGATGTAGTTGTGCACATCTGTCATCCCAGTACTCTGGGAGGCTGAGGCAAGAGGATCACAAGTTTGAGCCCAGCCTGGGCAATTTAGTGACTTAGGAAGACATTGTCTCAAAATGAAAAATAAAAAGGGTTGGAGATGTAGTTCTGCAAAGACTTTGGGTTCAATCCTCGGTGCTGTGAGGCAAAAACAAGAAGCCAAGTGTGGTGGCACCTGTCTGTAATCCCAACAGTCAGGAGGCTGAGGCAGGAGGATCCCTGTGAGTTCAAGGGCAGTCTGGGCTACACAGTGGGTTCAAGGCCAGCCTGAACTATGTAGAGAGACCCTGTTTCAAAACAAAACAAAACAATAAACAAAAAGCCCCCAAATCTCAAAAACAAAAATCAACAACAAAATCAAACCAAAAACCAAACCAGAAACAAGAAACAAGTAAACAACAACACCCCACCCAACAAAAAACAAAAATCAAGACAACTGTATGGTGGATACTTCCCTGTCTATGGAGCATATCCTGAGAGTTTCCTCAGTCCCAATCTTGTAGCCTGTAGGATAGGGTGGGGTGGGATATGTTCAGAGCAGACAGGCACCCACTGAAGGCTAGAGTTTGAACGTTCCACCTCATAAGGGTTATGAGAAGTATCTGGTGTGGGGACAAGAGCTTTGTTAAACAAAGACTGACGTACTTGGAGACACAGAGACACAGGACATGGATTAGAGTGGGAACCACTAAGGCTAATTCTAATTCTCTGATTCTCTGCACAGCTCACAGCCCCTAATGAAAACATGTGTAAGAAACCCGCAGGGTTAATTTTGCTGAAAAAAATTCCAGTAAAGCTCCATTAGATTTTCGCGTTAAATTAATGTAATGGATGCTTAAAAGCCATGCTAATTAGGCTTCGTTATTAACAGGAATGTCAGGTGGATGGGATGTGGCCCGAAGCTGACATTTTATTCAAGCGACCTGTGGGAGACGGATTTGTCAGTGGTCATGAGACTCGGGCATCATCTGGTCCCAGCTCCCTGACTCCGGCTCTCTGCTTGGAATTTCTTTAATCATTTAGGTTCATTGCCTGGGACTAGAATATTCTCTTCACCGAGATGACAGAGAAGAAAACTGTTCTCTGTTGGATTATTTATTTATTTATTTATTTATTTATTTATTTATTGTGCATGGTTTCAATTTTCCCATCTATGAGCCATCTTTCTGTCTCTGTTAGGATCAGGGCAAGAATGTGCCCTTGTTCAGAAACCTTCAGTGCCTCCTTTTTTTTTTTGTCAAATGAATCCAAAATCCTGACTTGGCCTTGTGAGATTTAGCCCCAAATCATCTTATTTTTGGGCGGGGCGGCTCTCCTATATATCTCTATCTGTACCAAGGGCTGCCCCTTCCCTGAGCCAGGCCTTCCAATCCCTTCTTGACTTTGGCTATTGCTCCTAAGCCCCCTTGTCTCAGCCCTCCAACACTTCTTTTATTCTGTCCTTTAGGATACAAGGAATGCACAGCTTGCTGTCTGCCTGACATAGAGCATCTGGCATGTTTGAGGTGGGTCTCCGTGCAATTCCTGATTCATTTTCCCGTTTCCCTCAACCCCTCTGCTGGGCCAGGTAGAATATCTCCAGGTGGTGCCCTGCCCTGCATCGGGGCCTGGGAACTCCGGCACCACACGGCGCTGGGAGAGAGGCTGTCTTTGGGAAAAGGGAAACTTACAAACCAGAGGAGTGTGAGAAAAGGGAAGGTTGGATTTCTTCTTCTCTGATCCTCCTGGCCCTCTGGCCCAGGACGTGCATTGGATCCTGAAGGGGGTTTGTGCACCTGTACAAGGACACTGCCCCTCCTCTTCCGGCTCCTCTACCTTTTGGCAGTGGAGAGGCTGCTTGGTTTCAGCAGCTTGGATTTTGGTGCCAGCTGTTGGTAGGAGCTGGCTGTAACATGTATCCAATGTCCCTAGGGCCCACGGAAGTTTGCACATCAAAGGTGAGGTGGAGGGGACTGTGAGCCTTTCAGGAAGCTGAACTTGACCACAGCTACCCCTTGAGAAGAAGGAGAACCCAGAGTTAATTTCCAGCAATTCTCTTCCTGTGTCATGGTCCAGTTGGCCCTGGAGACTTCAGGACATAAACCTGTTCACAGGGGACCAGGTGTCTCCCAATCTGGACTGAGGGGAGAGAGTTCACTTGGACCTCTGTGCTTTTTGTTCTTAAGAGGATACCACATATTTATCCAATCCCCGAGCCTGGCCATTCCCTTGATGATTAGTTCAGAGTTTCCCTCTGAGGTTCCCCACGTACCCAGGTGCAGGATGAGTTCCATGGCACACTACAGGAAGACTAACAAGGGTGACTGCTCCTGGCTTGAGTTGGCAGGAGGGAAAGGGCATAGATCTAGGAGCTTTGTCAGTCACTTGAAAGCCTTTTCAGAGTCTTACCAGCTTGGATCAAGGAGTAAGTTGTGGAGAGCCCTGCACTGTCCCAAGAAGCAGCCGGAGATGGATCCTCTGGGCCCTACACTCCAGACTTCAGGAGCTACTGGAGGAGGAGATGTCTATTCAGGCACCAGCTAAAGTCAAAGGGTCAGCAGCTTGTGTGTGTGTGTGTGTGTGTGTATGTATGTGTGTGTGTGTGTGTGTGTGTAATGCAGGACCTTCCACTGCATAACAGAGTGGTGATTCCTCTAAGACTGGGTTTGTCACAGACAGATACTTTCTGAGACACTGTCTGAGATACAAGCCCATGCTGGCTGTCAGCAAGCAGCCCAGCCATAGCACTGACAGTAAGGATGATGGCAGGAATGAGACCCAGGCCTTTCCTTGATGGCCCCATGCTTGGTCCCCCTGCTCCCAGCCTCCTCTAGCTCTTGTCTCTAAGGCAGGCTGAGTGGGTTTGTCCCTGAGCCTTAGTGTGATGAATGCACCAGATGGGACCCACCCTGCCTGACACCTTTTCCCTGGACCTTCTCTGAATGCCTGGGTGATCTCTCTGCTCTAGATGGCAGGAAGGAAGGAGGCTCTGGCAAGGAAAACAATGCTCAGGGGTATGGCCAGGATCTAGAAGAAATGACACATGCATGTGTATGTGTATGTGTATGTGTGTGTAAGAGAGAAAGAGATACACACACACACACACACACACACACACACACACACACACGTATGGTGGGAATCTCCAGACAGAAATGGAGGGGAAGTGTTCCAGGACCTGCCCTCCTACCTGACACTGGGAAGACATGGGTAGGGGTCTGAGAACCTCTAAGAAAGGGTGGCCCCAGGCTACCCCTGCAGGATTTTTAGGCCTCCACTCCTGGTCACAGCTGGTGGCTGCAGGCTTGTTGACCTCTGTGGTAGGAGAAGAGCATGGAAGGCAAAGCTGCTGGGGAGCACCCAGGAAACCTTTGCCTTGCTGGCTGGAGTGTAGGTAGGAAGAGGGAAGCAAGGGCTACAGGGTTTGTGCGAGGGATCTGTACCTGTGCTGTGGGCTAATTAGAGGGCAAGCTGCTGAAAGATGAACCCTTTCCCTAACCCTGGCTGCAGTCAGAAGCCACAAGCATTGAACAGAGAAATGTGGAACGTGGGTCCTCTCTGCTTCCTGGACCTCAGAGGCTAAGACTTTCCACAGGATCAGCAGGAATAGAAATCCTATAGTTTCTGTCCACTGCAACTCCCCACCTGCCTCTATTCTATTTTGCATCATAACTCACTCAGATATGAGCAGCCATGAAGGAGGCTGCCATCTTGCCCACCCCAGGAATGGATCCTAATTTTTAAAAACTCAAATATACTCATCCTATTTCCTTTGCTGGTGATGAATAATATGGGCCTTATGATCACTGTGGCAAACTACTCACTATTGTTTAAGTTTACAGTTTATCAACTGGAGTTTTATAGTTGAGAGCAAGGTATAACACATAAATAAGCACATATTATTTATTTATAGCACATACATAAATGGCATGTTCCAGTAAAACTTTACTCACAAAAACAGGTGGCAGGCCACATTCAGCCTCCTGGCCATGGTTTGCCAACCTGTCATTAAACTCACAGAGTCTCAGCTTCCTCATCTGAAAAATGACGCTAGTATTTCTTAATTTCTCATTCCCTCATGGGGCAAATTTGAGCATCATAGGTGATGTTTTAAAACGATTGCTACATAAACTATAATGTACACATGCCTCTCCCTTCCTCCCATGAGAACCAAAGGTTTTGGGGCTTACAAGAGAAGTGCTTGATTTGCCACTCAGCATTACTGTGTGACTTTGGGAAAATCACTGAACTTATTTGAGCATCACTTTTCTCTCGTATCAAATAGGGAGGCTGAGGCCTACTTCTCATGGTGTTGCAAGGGTTAAGTGGATAATGCCTGTAAAGTGCTGCTCTGAGTCCTCAAGGAATGGTAATATTATTAAGGATTAAAGCCTTCTGCTCCCAACAGGGCCCATCCCACCCCATCTCACCCACCTGTCTTGCCATTTGGTGAATCTGTTTCTTCCTCCAGTTCCCGTGGGCCCAGGAGCCCCTGGGGCGGGGTACGAACCTCCCCTCCCCCTGCCACGTGAGCTGTGAGCTGTGCGCTCGCTCCCTTTCTCTCTCTCTCTCTCTCTCTCTCTCTCTCTCTCTCTCTCTCTCGTTCTCTCTCTCTCTCCTGCCCACACAGGGCCCTCCCCACTGCACCGCTCCCCCATTTAACAGAACGAGTAATTAACAATGTTAATTCTAATCTCATTTGCTAATGAAGGCAGTCTAATTGCACCATAATTGGCAGCGGCAACAGCAGAAAAACACAAAATAAACCCTGTGTGTGTAATTCGGTTTAACTTCTTTATAATTACCTTGAGGGCTGGGACCGCGTGGCCCGGATGCAGTGGGGTGCGGAGGTTGGGCGTTAAGGGGAATAGGAGCCGGGACCTGAAGCAGGGTGGAGCGGCCCATGCCACCTCCGCGTCAGGCTCTGCCCGAGAGTCCAGACAACAGTTCCTTCACTTCACCCCACTTTCCTCCTGTGGCCAGAGTCCGCTGCTGTGCAGGCGGGCGGGCCTGTTCCTGGGGACTACAGCCTCCCTTCAGGTCTTCAGGAGCTTGTTCTTCCCAGCTACATTCCTCCTCCGTAGCCGGGAGGCGAGTCCAACATCTGTCCGCCTGCCTTTCCCTTCTCCCACCCACCTCTTCCGGCCACACAACCTCAGAGCCTGCCTTTGAACACCACTCCTGCCCCGTCCCTGTCGTCCTGCCCGAACCCCAGGGACCTGGTCCCCGACCCCAACGGGCAGGCCTGGCACTCCCTCCCCTTCATCTGCTGGGAACTTGCGTTAGACCACACCTGCTGTAAGTTCACAAGGGACGGTTGGCATGCGTGTCACTAGATCGCTCTTCTTATCTAAGTACTCCCAGTGCCTGGCTTATTCTATTTCTGTAGGATCCTCGAATGAGACATAGGTGGCTGTGGGGAAAGTTCTGGAAGTAACTGGCAGGGGGCTAAGAGTCCTGGGTTCGAGCCCTGTCTCTTGTTAAACTGCTCTGTTAACTTGTGCAGTTCTCTTTGTATAGCAAAAACTTGCATTTCCTAGTTCTTCATTTTCCACTTGCTCTCAGTGTCAGGGATGTTTGAAATTTTATCCCACAGCCCCCGGCAATCAGCCAACATCCTAAAGTCAAGGCCTGTCTGTTTTCATTGGAGGTGAAATTTCCCGCATAAGCCTCTAGTGCAAGCTTCTCCCATCTTCACACGGGAACCTCACTCCGAGGTTGATGATTCTGAATAAATAAGTAAATATCTTTTCTGAACCCGAGCATAATATCTCCCACATCTTAGAGAAGTAAGGAATACCTTAATAGCTTCCCTTGCCCAGTTTTGGAAAGAAGTGTGTGCCCGGGGTATTTGTTCTGTTTATACATATAATTGTTTCCATAGCAACCAGCTGAGATTTAGAATGAGCGGCAAACTGCTTCGGTTAAGGGGTGGGAGGTGAATGAATTTACATCTCCTGGTTGGGGGCACTTTAGTGTTCTTCTTCTAAGCTCAGAGTCTCCCCACGCTGTAGCCTGCATGGTCATCCGCTTCTGATGTATGCGGTTATCACGTCTTTTGGTTTTATTTTTTCTTTGGAAACTTCCCTCATGGAGTGCCACATTCTTCTCTGTATGCACTGGTATGTTGGGTTTCCTCATTGCCACCCCAGGAACCCCTTTTGTTTCTTTCCTATGTGGGTATCATGTTTCCTGGATTCCACACCTTTATTTCCTCTTGGTTTATGTCCTTATTTTGGTGGAGTCTGGGAGACAAAATTTCTGAGACTGCTGATGAGAAGTTTAATGCCGTTCAGTTTCCTGATCCTTTGCATAAGTCCAGAATTTTTTTTCCCCCCTCTCTGATGGCTTTCATATCTTTTCTTCATCTTTGGTGTTCTGAAATTCCCAGTGAAGTGCTTTGGTATCCAGGGGACTATTAATCTGGAAATTCATATTCTCCAATGCTGAGACATTTTCTTGAATCACTTTGGCAATGACTGTATTACCTCTAATTCCTCTCTCCCTTTGGATTTCCTATTAGTTAGATGTTGCATCTCCTGGACTGATTTTCTCCAATTATTTTTCTGCTGTTTTTATTCATATTCTTTTTGATCTATTTTCCAGTAGATTTCTTCAACATTGTCCACCAATTCTCCAATGAAATCTGTTATCTATCTTTTTATTTTGTTCCCAGAATTCTTTTTTTATTTCACTCTCAGAGTTCTTTTTTATTTATTCCTGGATTTTTTAAAATAGAAGAATGCTCTTTTTTTATAGGTGCAGTATCTTCACTTATTTCTCTAAGCATAGGGATTTGGAGTGTCCTACTGCTTCCTTTCTTTGCTTCTGTTTGACTCAAGCGTCTTCTCCCACTTTTGTCTTTTGCTCTGTCTTTCCTAGTGGATGCCCTGGCTGCCTGGAAAGCCCACATGTGTGGGCCTGGAGAGTGTCAAGAGAGTGTGCAGAGTGGTGGTGGTGGTGGGGATGTAGCAGCAGACAGTACCTCTGGGGCCATTCTATTTCAGCAGAGGACCTCCCCGTGAGGCAGCATAGGTGGTAGGACCTGGAGACCCTTCAGGAAATTGAGTAGAGGTAGGAGGGGCGGAGACCTTTGCTAAATGCCTCACTTTCCCTCAGCAACTTGTTTGCACAGCCTTTCCTCACATGATCCCCGCAGAGCCCCGTGGCTGGGGGGCAGAGGGAGAGGAGTTTTTCTCTGCCATATTTAATTGGAAATCTGAATATAACTCCTTAAGCAGCATTCACACAGAAGTGAGCAAGCGTTGGCCGAGGAGGTGAGAGGTGGTTTCATTCCCATCTTTGCTTCCCCATACTCCCCATGAGGAATTTAATAAGAAGTGAAATGCCGTTGGCAGTGAGGGCCCAGTGGTAAGGGAAATTTGGAATCAGGGCTGCTAGAAACAGCCTGGGTCCAGGGCACCTGCAGTAAAATTACTTTGATGATGGGAAAATTAAAAGTTGAAAATCAAAGCCTGATGCTGAATGGAAGACACTGAGGGACACCTTGGAGATTTTTCCCTCTCCTCACAGCTCCTATTTTTCTCTTCAAGCCTATTTTTCCTACTCATGTGTATGCATGTGTGTGTGTGTGTGTGTGTGTGTGTGCGTGCATGCATGTGCATTTGCCCCTATGTGAACATACATGTGCAGATACACGTATACACATGACAGCTGTGCGTGTGCATATTATGTATGTGTGCATCCATCTCTATGTTCCCATGCATTTGTGTGTGCACAAGCCTTTATGCACTCAAACACCTGCATGCATGGGAATGTGTGTGTGGAGACTTAGAATGAAATCATGAACTTCAATTTGGTACAGTAGGAAAAGCTAAGGATTTAGACTGGACCTGATAGAAGAGCCCTCTTTGTCTTATGACAGAATACAGACACTGAGTGGTTTATAAGCAACAGAAATCTATTTCTCAGAATTGTGGAGCCTGGCAAGTCCAAGATCGAAGTGCTGGCAGATCCTGTGTCTGGTGAGGGCACATTCTGAGTGTGTCCTGACATGGTGGGAGGGGCAGACATGCTCCTTTGGGCCTCTGTTTATAAAATCACTAATCCCACTTATAAGGGTGGACCCTAATCACTTCCACAGAGCCCCGCTTCCTCATACCATCCCCTTGGAGGTTAGGATTTCAGCATGTGAAAACAAACATTCAGACCACAGCACCATACTCACGTTATCCTAGGCAGCTCTCTTGATTTCTTTGTGTTTTTGTTTCTTACCTGTAAAGTGAGATTTCTGATACCAAAGCTGGCTATCATGTGGAGGGGCCATGAGAGTTCTTGGAGCAGTATATGAGAAATGTTTTGTACCATTGAATGAATGCTTCATTCTTTCATTCACTCATCTGAGGAATTCCTAATTGGCTCCCCATGCCAAGAACAGTTTACCCTGGTACCTGTCATGCCAGGCGTGGCACACAGAACTTGCCCAGGGGCCAAGGCTGGGCAGAGGGAGGGAGGATTCTCTGGTGGACAGGCCTCAGGACTCTTCCAGGCAGAGGACTGGGAGTGCAGAGGCATGGACCTGAGCTGGGGTGGCTGGCAGTGCTGTGCCAGGGGCTAGTCATAGAGGGCAGTGGTCCAGCACTGGGCTCTATGATACTCCAGCTCCATGCCTCCCTCCTGCTGGGGAGATGTCCATGCCTGTGCTTGTTCTTCAATTCACTGTAGAATTTAACAAGTATTTATTAAGCTCCACCCTGTGCTGACCCAGCTGCAGGCTCTGGGGACGTAGTGTGGATCCCCAGTCCCACTCCCACTCCCTGCACTCCACTCTCTGGCTGGCTGAGAAGCTGCGCCCAGAACAATGTCACTGCAAAATTTTATACTGGCTTTTCCCCTTCCAGGGGAACATCTGCCAATAGCTTTTACGATGCTGAATAAAAAGCCTTTTTTTCCCCTTTAGATATTTTTATTTCACCTTTAAAGGATGTACAGTAAGGGTAAGAACACCTCGATGAAATCTCCGCAGTAAATAACTCTTGGATCCCTTTCTTGTGCAAGTGAGAGGACAAAAGGACAAGCCTAGTCAGAGATGGCCTCCTCACCCTCACTATCCTCCTGGCCAGGCAGAGTTGCCTAAAGCCCCACGGGGCGGGGTTCTGCCCACCACTGCTCTGCGATAGGAGCTCTGGCCCTTCTCTGGGGCAGTGTCCCAACCCTTCTCCCGCTGCCCACTCTATGGCAAGGGGCTAACAGTCCTTGGCCACCTACTGTGTGCACCACAGGCTCTGCTGAGCCCTCCACATGGGTGTGAGAGTCAAGAGACCAGAACTTGGCATCTGCTCTACCTGAGTTGGGTTCCCGCCTCTTCCACTGTGAGCTGTGAGATCACGTGACCCTTTCATGGCTCTGTTTCTGCATCTGAAAAATGGAAACACCTACTAGAGTTGTAGAATGAATAAATAAACTTGGGGGTAAAGCACAAAGGAGAGTGCTGGGATCTAGAAAAATTGCCAGCCTGCCTTAGTTATTTGATTGCCTGTGTATTTCATCTTTGCACTGGCCAAGCTGGCCCTGACCAAGTGTGTGCCTTATGTCCCAGCTGCAGGTTGTTTGCCCAGCCTTGGCAGGCCCAGCCTCTTGTTTGAGGTGAGCTACGAGCCGGAGGTTTGGTGAGGTGCGTGGCCTGCCCAAGGTGAACCAGGAGGAGCATGGTGGGGTCCACAGAGAGGAGAAAGAAGTCCCTTTCTGTCCACAGCTGCCCTCAGGAGGCCTGTGTGCCCCAGAAAGGCCTGCTTCTGAGGAATCAGTTTGGGATCCCCCTCTTAGCGCTGCAAGGTAGATAAGGAAGCGGGGTGGTGACCCGCCCAGCTCAGAGCCTGTGTCTGCACATAACTGTCTCCTCCGACTCCTGATCCTGGTCCCTCTTCTCTGCAGTGAATCTACTGAGTCTGGATCCATGCATTTGAGGGCCACCGACCTGTGATGTCCTTTGGCCTCTAGCCACAGGAGAAGTGCTCAGGGCTGTAAGCAGTAGGGACCGAAGTGTTCTGCTGAGTGATCCTGTGTGTTGTTGCTGGTGAGGGCAGTGAGAGGCCAGAGGCCCAGGGTCAGCGATGACACATGCAATCTCTGCTGGACTGAGAGGCGCCGGCCACAGCCG